GCCACTTTTTCTCACCGCTACCTATCTGATTGAGTAGGACATGACCTCAGGATTGCCACTTAAGGGTGAGTAAGAAACAACCGAGAGAAACCGTGCAGATAAATTACAATTACAATTCTGCCTGAGGGATGATTACTGAGATGATGACGGTGTTTTAAACCTCGTGCCATGTCTGCCTCTCACCTTTAAGCTGGATTGTGGTAGAATAAAACCACAACTTTTTGATGTCCTTCCATTCAGTCATACAAATGGAAAATCGAAAATTGAGCATCCTCTCAAAATGTCCAAACAAATAATACCGGAAGTTAAGCAATTTGTTCAATTTTGCATGGATTCACTCACTTCTATGGGCCTCTCTAATTGGCCCCAGAAAGAACTTTGAATAGTGACAAAATGGACATTTTTACTTATCCATATAAATCCTTTAAGAATAGCCGTCCATATAAAGAGACTGTAATGAAAAACAGCTGCGGACCAGCTGTATTCAACCTTTAACCCTGCCATAAAGTTGGCTGCCTTAAACAAAAAGAAGTGAACCTTTTAATGACCCTGGATGTGTATGTTCAAACCTGGCTGAAAGGGAAGGCACACTGCTATTATTTTTACAAACTCAGCTATACAGTAAGGCTGCAGATGTTATTTGATTAGGAATTTTCGGTAAGAACCAGCTCAGAATGGTGTATTTTCTTTTGAAAAATGAAACAGTATAATCTTTTCATGGTCCCCTGTTCCACCAAGAATGGGAAGAAAACATCTGGAAGACATTTTTTCTGGGTTTTTGGAGGGCTTAGCAGACAGCACAATGGAACTTATCGAATCCAGATGTGAAGGCGTTTAGTGAAACAGAAAGGCCTTATTCTATTTAATAGTTTAAAGTATAGTCTACATAAGTATACAACAAATACCATCTCTTGATATATAACATTATTCTTGAGTCATGCCAATTCTCTGATTGTTTATTTCCACTGCTCCTTTCAATACTGTCGTCTATTAGCATCAGAAGCTTTGGACAAAATCCATCCTTGGTTTCACTTGCACAAGGTATGCAAAGAATGTTATTTCAGTATTTCTGATGACTAAAAGTACTCGGCAGCTCAAGTAAGTTATGGTCTGGTGTGAATGTTTGCAACAGACAAAAAGCTTTTGCTTAATTAATTATAACAAACCACGGTAAAAACAGTCAAAACTGATTGTATAAGACTTGTGAAAAGAGTTAATTGATTATGGAAACTAAGTTGAAAAAGAAACTTTGCAGAAACAAAGGAAACCGTTTGAAGAAGGAAGATTTGTTCCACAGCATTTATATGCTGATCATAAAACTACAAAGCAACTGAGCTCAATCACTAGGGGGCAAGCTTGTCTATTACATTTGAATTAGGGATGCACACTTTGGATTATTTCCAGTCACTTTTTAAGTCTCTGTGTCTGTCTGTGGACAGATTTCGTCACTGCAATAGTGTCACACAAATCTACAGATGTTTAAATTAGATAAAATGTAAAAGGTTGAGTTGGCTGAGTTGGCTGTGGTCCCATTACAAAGGGAGCCAAGGGGCCAATGGCTCAGTGTAACTTGTGCAGATATTCTATTCTTAAGGGCATCAACCACTGGCCAAAAATATATAATACTACACACACACTTCTAATCTTCCTTTCTGACCTCCAAAAGTCAGAGGACAATTTATTGAACAAGCAGCAGTGGAGCTTCAATAGCAAGAATTCCTTTCTTCAGGCAATGAAACTGTAAACCTAACAGCAGTGGCAATCCTAAAGTCCTGACCTCTGAACTCTGACCCCTCTTCTCATTCTTAACCTCCATGTCTTATACTGTAAGCCTTCTGTTAGTACCACTTTTAAAGTAAGGTCTGCTTATTAATGCATGGATTAGGCCTTTGCTCAGTCTCTTAATGTTTGATTGTACATGCAGTGCACCAATCCCCTTTAACCTCAGGTTGCTGTTCACTTTGAACACGTTTGTAGTTTGCAATAAACTCATTTCTTAGTCTTTGAGAATATAATGCAACCGCAGAGGCATATTTTAAAATGTTATCTTTACGGTTTGGTTTTTCAGTAACCATAATGCTAGTCCATGATTGTATTGCTAACAGGCTAACATGCTAAACTACATTTAGTACACTTTTTCTTTTTCAGGGTACCAGTACAACTTTGAACCAGTCAATAAAATTATATTAAAAAAGGACAATGAATAATGTGAAAGGGGTGTGACAGACCAACTGAAAAAGTATCAACCAACTGTGGAGATTGGCTAAGCTCTTCTGAGCATTTAGCATCTCTTTGCTAACAGCCTACTACACCTTTATTGCAGAAAACTAACTGTCACTATTCTATCAACCGTGTTTGCAGCAGCAGCAGCAAGCAGCTGATTTCAGTGCTCAACACACATCAGAACAAAGAAGATAGCAAAAAGTAAGCTAATGTGCACTGTGGAACCCAAGATAAAGGCTAGTGTATTTTAAGGAGTTACTGGAAACCTTACAAATATATACACTATATTACACTTACATTCGCCATGGAGACATAAAGGCAACTCTTATTACAGCTATGTGGGTGATAGATGTGTAAAAAGGGAAGTACAATGATTGTTTGCAGCTTGGTCTGCTGCCTCCAGGTGGTGAACCCCCAAAATGAATGCAGTTTTGTGAGCTAAAACTCGAAATGTTACATTTTAAAATTGGGTTTTGTTTTACACTTCTAATCCATATAACCACATTTTTCTTTCTTTTTTCTTTCTTTCTTTTTTATATGAATGATTTAATAAGGGATTTGTTTTAACAGTCCAAGATTAACTTAATACCTTGTGGAACGAGTCATTGGATTTCACCAATCCTCAAATGTTGAAATGAAAGAGTTTGAAAAACCTGAAAAAAAAAAATTCACTTTTGATTTAATCTCAGATGAATGTCAAAGTCCCATATGGAAATATGCCAACTATTTTTAAAAAGTGTATCAATTTAGTATTGATCAAGTAGATGATTAAAGAATATGTAATGATTACAAAACAAACAATGAATATTTAATTTATTTTTAGTAGTTCAACCCATATCAATTATTTTAAACCTGCATTTTAATTGGAGTACACTGTGTAGAGTTGGGCCGTGCTGGTGTGTGGGCAGGCCTCTGCAAGCTTTCAGATGAATGTATACCGAGTCCTCCCTGAGGCTAAGAGGTCATGTGGTTAGGGTCAAGATTAACTTTTACTGCTGACAACTGGCTAATCGTCAACGATTACCGTTTGCACCACACGTTGTTGGGAAAGGTGTGTATTGATGTTATATTTTACTATATTTCTACATAAAGTGAATATAAAAGCAAAGACTGAGTTTAATCCAATACTATACTGAAAGCTCAACTCATTTGAAATGTTTGAAAACTTTAAGAAAAGTGAAAATCTTCAACTTTAGAATTCGTGATTAGTTGACACAAAACGTGCATGTATTTGGCATGTTGCTTTAGTCATAATTCGGCATGTGTCAAGTTTCAGGAATTGTACCAGACCCCTTGAGGGTCCCTTACAAGACTCTGGTTCCTCTCTATTGGAGCTAAAGCGCTGATTAAATCCAGTTTCCAGCACCAAAATGGATTCAGTCCCACTGTTTCTGGTCCCAAAGACTCAAGTCAAACTCCCCCTCTGTCATCAAAAACTCCATAGAGTGACCTAAGATGTGTTCACTTAACCACCAGTGTTTATAGGCAACTTAAAAAATCAACAGGCTGCAGTAAAGTCTTTATATGTCTATACCCTATATGAACTTAAAACCACTTCAAATTCATCTGTTTTCCATTAAGCTCATTTCTAATTGTACATAGCTTTGAATCAAGCAGCTGACTCGGTGTGACATCCCATTGGTAACTTTGGCACAATCTTGGAGACTTTCTTACTGTCCCTGAAGCAGACAGCAGAAAGCACCTGTTCACCTTAAAGTCCTGCAGTGTCAGAGCCTTACGGCAGACAGCAGACCACCAACCATGCCAGGCAGTCTTAAGCAGCTAATAATACATGTAGGCCGGACCCCAGCCCCACCACCACAGCACTGCCTGACCTCTGGACCCCCACGGGACAACACACTGCCACAGTGAAGGGTCTAATGATAAAAAATAACTTCTTCTTTCAAGCCTTTGGAGCCTACAGGCTGGGTTTAACTGGTATTTAACTGAGTTGCCAAACGTTAACACTCCTATTTTCGACACTCTAGTTATGTGGAGTATTTGTAGAATGTAATTAATAAATATATTGGGGTTTAAGCCTAAACACAGCGCCTCAAGCTATAGAATGTGTGTTTGATGTTAGTCTTTAAGGCGGCTCCACCCTACCACTTCAGATGAGCTGCAGCACCTCCCTTTAAAATTATGCTCATCCCTCATCAGTAAAAAAAAAGAAAAAGGAAAAAAGCTTTGGAAAAACTCTCTTCACACTTTCTCTAACTGCAACACAGAAAAGTTATTACATTACATTGCATTTAGCTGATGCTTTTATCCAGAGCAACTTACAATAAGTTAGAAGTTATAATTAGAAGTTCATAATAAGTTTGGAAAATGCAAGACAGAAAAATGCTTTAAGTAACATCTGAAAAACAGATGTTATTTGTGACCCCGGGACATACTGTACAGTTTATTATTTCACCATCAAATGCATGCAAACCTTTTCAAAACAAGATTATTCAGGGTTATATCTATATTTAAAAACGTTTGTAAGTTTTTCCAGTGGCATTGTACAACTTCCTTGCAAACCAGCTCCTCAGACCCAATAAGTGGCAAACCTCCCTGAGTTATTCTCAAAAGAAAACCCCTTCTCTCAAAAACACACAGTCCTATGATACTTTGACAAGTCCCTTAGTTTAAAAAACCAAGCTGTATACATAAAGGCAGCAATAAGGCACAAAGATGAGTTTAGGAGGAGGGGTGGATCCACTTTACCCAGAAAGAAAAACTTTTTTTCAGCGCAGCTTCAAAATGAACCCACACATCTCACAGCTGCATCTTACCTGAACTTGCTTGCGATGTGACAAAAAGCAGAATCACCGCTAAAGTGATTTGGGCGTCCCTTATCGTCCGTTTAACTTTCCATCTTATATGGGTATCCATGACCGCCAGAGAAGTCCACGGCAAGTGGATTCACTTTTCAACTTGGAGAAACTAACTCGACTTGCAACAACTTCTGGTCAGGACAATACTAAAAAGCCAAAAGTCCCAGAGAAAGAGAAAAAAGGGGGAGGGGGGGTGTTTGGTTATTTCTCAAGCAGCCATAAGGGATTGTTAGTGTGCGTTCCTCCAGCTAGTTAACGGATGGGCACCCGTCTCTCCGCACGGCTCCTCTCCTCTCTGCGTGTCTGAAATGTGCTGCACTGCTGCGCTCCGTTCAGAAGTGTTGCCCACTCCTCAGCCGTCACGTAGAGCCCCTTCAAGTCCAACGGGGCTACGGCGCACAGAAAAGCTCTCCCCCCGGGCTGTCAGTCACTCGGCGGACAGCAGGCTCGGGCAAATCAGAGCGGTCCATACATTAGAGCCAGCCCTGTTCCTGGCCGGGGGAGGAGGAGAAGTTGGGGGAAAGTTTCACGCCTACAAGTCTTAGCGCTCTGAGCTCTTCTGCATGGAGTCCACTTCTTCCATAGAGAGGCAGGGCGGGAAAAGCAAACTGCAACTGGGAGAAGTCATGGAGAAAGGAGGGCGATTCAATATAGTAGTGATTATTCAAACTGGTTTTAAGAGTAGGGTTGTGTTGCATCAACAGGTGGGCTCCACTAAAAGCACTGACCCAGCCTGTGGAACAGTAGCCTATTTAGGTTATCTAGCTGACATGTAGGCTATTTAAATTATGTATTTATTACATGTAGCCAGCCAGGTTGTTCTTTAACACATACTTATATTTTTGTGTAAATATTGACTTGTTACAATAGTCTTAACATAAATATTTTAAGAGCTTTTATAATAGTTTGTATGTATAGGCCTACATTTTTTCCTACATATTCTTCTTTCTATGTCTTTGTATGCGCCATATACATTCTTCATTTGTGGGATAGGCCTACTTGGGAATAAAACCGATTCTGATTCTGAACAATGTGAGGCCACTATTTCCAAATGTCCAACTTGTTCTGTTCTTATTCAATAACTAGCAACTTATTATTATTATTATTAACTTAAATTGTAAATGTAATTGCATTTATTTATTTAAAAGCACTACAGTATATACATTTTCTAATGCATTTATAAAGCACTTTTCCAGTATTTGCCACCCCTCAAAGTGCTTTTACACATGCAAATCAGAATTCAATCATTCACACACATTCATATGGCTGCCATACAAGCTGACACCCGCTCAGGAAACACACACACATTGGCCTTGCCATCGGAGCATTTTGGGGTAAAAACTACCAAGGACACATCAACATTTTGACTGCAGACGATGGCGATCAAACCACCAGCCTTCCGATTTGAAAACATCTACCACCTGATTTATCATTAGATTGTGTATATATAAATCTAAAAATAGAAATACATATGAAAAGTACCATGATGATGGGTAACTAAGTGAAAGGCCCAAGGTTCACAGCATATCAATTATTATTTGGTGGTTCTTTTACAGGTACACAAGCTGGGGGAGGAGTAAGCTTCGCTCAAACAATGAAAGTTTGAGTGCTATTTTGGACACGATGGATTCATAAGTGATAAGTGACTCTCTGGCAAGATGGTCCAGCTTTTATCATGGACAGGCCCAATTTTGGACACGAAGAACAACAGAAAAACAGCAGTTATTAATCAAATGGTTGTTTATCAAAAGCAGACATTATTCTTTTCATTGTAGAGTGCTTGAATGGACTTGCTAAACTGTGAAATGCTTCATACAAAATGTATATTCAAGAACAACTCAACAATCAGTTCAGATCCAGTTGCGCTTGAAGAACTATAACTTATCTCTAGTAATCTATAAATTCATTTAAATGCAAAATTTGAATCAACCAGTCAAGGCAAACTTTTCATTGAGGCTGTGATGTACGTCAGATATCACTGTAACGTTTGAATACAGTGAGAAAATACAGAACTGAGAAAAGGCAGCTTAAATGCAATCTAATCACTGGAAAAAAATATTGCAAGTAGTAAATTCACCCTCATTGATGAATAATAATTTGTAAATAACTTTTTGGTGCCACGGTGAGATTCAGACACCAGCTCTTGCTGACGTTGTCTCAACTTTCATATGGCTGCTGAAGTGGGGGGCAGACCTCCGTTAAGTGCCCAGTAAAAGTTGACACAATAAACAAAGAGCACAATATTGTTGCGACATCTGACACTATGTCACATTACGAGGTGAAAACCATCTTTACACACGCAAGTGACTTGTTACAGTATGTTAGACTGGACACTGAGTGATAGTACAGACTACAATATAAAATGATGAAATATTGTCCAGGCGAGCGCCATTAAAGAAATACCTCACCCATGAAATGAACATTTGTTTATCAAACGTCAATCCAGTTGTTTACTCACTTCCCGAAACATGCTTTTTCTTACTACACAGAAACTGCCAAATGATTTTAAATAGTTTTTGTTAATGGACATGTGTTTGAGAAGTAGTGAGCATATTCATTTTTAAATGAGACTTGGATTACATGCGAGATATATGTGAAAATGTGTAAGTAGACCTAGTTGTTTTCATTGTTTTACTATTCAAACGCAGTCCCTAATAACTGTATTTTATCATGAACTTTTCAGTTTTTTCCATTCATTGTAAAAGGATCCAGGCAACAACTGTTTTCTTTTGAAAGTTCACGGAAACACGTCATGAGTAATTCATATACAAATGGTTATATAGTGGGTCGTTTAGTTTGGAAAATTGTCTTAAAGCTTTTGGAGAATATAAAATTAAAGAAGCACAACTGCATCATGACTGATTTTTGTCTGCACTCACATGCTCTTTTGTAACACGAAAATCATGATGTACTGACTGACAAATGCATTTAGAGAAATTAAAAATGGGCTACACACCTTTAATCTCCTGTCAGATGGCATCAGTGAACATGTTGGAACCATACACTGGATATAGGGTTATTAATCATGTTGAAACATAGCCTTGCCTACTGCCTTCACAGCCTTTTTACCTTAAATGACCCCTATTTCCATATACGTTTCTTTGGTTCTGAAGGCAACACATTTTTAAATAAACTGCATCGCTTGAAAAGGAGAGGATATTTACATCCAGAATACACCAGCTTTTCTAAACTGACCACTTAGACATATAATGGTTACGTGGTCAGATATATGGTACAAATTATGGGCAGAGCCCTGTGTTTAGGGTGGCTTTGTACCTACACCACACTAATGTGAAGGCTCTTTAACTGCTCCTGTGCACACACTCCCTTAAACTGTGTTCTAACCAAAAACATGGTGTTTCATCTGGGGCTGGACCATTGGTGGTTGTGCCCATCGGAGGACATTCAGAATACTCTCTCAAAATACATCCCTGTAAGACAAAATATAGGACACAGTTGGAAAAAGACATGTGAATTGAGATTTGGTGTAATGCTTTTTCAGTTTAGAGCCAATATTTCAATTCTATTTCTACTATTTTTCACATTTACATTCACCAAGATATGAAATAGAAAAAGCCAGAGGCCTGGTCAGCAGGCGGTGCTTTCACTGAGTTGATCTCTTATCCAGAGGTCTGTACTACGAAGCCGGATTTTCGCTTAGCGAGGTAACTTCAGGGTAAACAACTCTGGGTCTCCGGTCCTACGACGCTGGTTCACTTCTTACGTAGATCTCCATGGTAACTTATGCTGAACGGCAAACCTGCTCCGGAGCAGGTTTGGTTCCAGGATAAAAGATCAACTCAGTGAAAGCACCGCCTGCTGACCAATCAGAGCTCAGTGTGCGGAGTTTAAAGCGATCAAGTCATATTACAGGATAAAGGAAATACAGGAAAGGAAAGACGGCCGGCAAAAATCACCGACTGTGTGAACGTGAACATTAATAGAATATCACCTCCCATCTTCAGAGCAATCTGACTAATATAAAATTAGCGTTAGAAAGCTTACTTAAATATCTGCCACAACATAAGTAACCGGATCAAAGTAACATTACGTATACAATCCGTGGCACTGTGAGTGCAGACGTCAATGTGTCCCATTATCATTCATATCACATCATAATGTATCATATTTCCTTATCTGAGTCAGCTCCTTGAGCCGTATATGGCCGTGCAACACTTACAGTGTCACATACTGTATGCAGAAGTATTATTTTAAAGTGGACCTATCATGCTATATTTGAATAATATATTGTAGGGCCATACCTATATAAAACATGTCTGTTTGTTTTTTTTTCAAAATACCAAACAGATCATGCATTTTAGCCATGCCTCATTTCGCTGTATTTGCTGTATTCCAGCCCTGTTTTTGCAAGGGCTGATTCTGTGGCAAATGAGCTGCAGCTGACCACGCCCCCTGCAAAGGAGGGGGTGAGGCACGAGCGTCATGTTACCATGCTGTTACCATGCCTGTTACCATGCTGTTGCCATGTCCACGGCAACCTCTCATTCCCCTGAGAGGTGGAGAGTTGCCCATATAGGCGGAGCTCCTACGTTACTGACGTCAGAGATATTTCAAATCTGTATCAGTCTGTATCAGATCCGTTTTAGAGATTTAGCTGAAATTAATGTAAACTGAAGCTCACAAAGAAGAAGAGACAAAGAGAATCCCTTGCGTACGTTTACGGAAACGCAGCAGAAAAGTGGGGACTCATTACACAGCGGGCCGACCACAGTCTCTTAGTGGTTTACAGTCTTTTGTGTAGGAAGGAGAGAAAGAGGTATCGGGTTTGCGATTTTGCCCCGGACGT